CATCCATGCAGTCAGCACAGCTCCAACACCACACGTCCATGCAGTCAACACAGCTCCAACACCACACATCCATGCAGTCAGCACAGCTCCAACACCACACGTCCATGCAGTCAGCACAGCCGCCGGCCCGGTAGCACAGCGGACGTCGCGTCCCATCGCAGGCAGCACAGCAGCCGCCTGCCCGCGCCACCAGCTTGCAGGAGGAATCTGCAGACCCTGTTCTGCCAAGGCTGCTGTGGTTTTCCCCCCCTGAGATCCAGCCGCCCTGGATAAAAAACTGCCATCCAACTGCTGCATCCTGAGCTGCAGCTTCTCAGGGAGGTGCCGCAGAGAGGCAGCGAGGCCGGCACTGCGAGCCCTGGGCGCAGCACACAGGAGGAGCGCGACCTGGGGACAGAGCTGCTGGCCGGCTCACAGCAAGCACCACCGATTTTGATTTCAGACCAAATCAACCCTCTGACAAAAGCTGCAGGGCTCAGTTCAAAGCCCCACTGGTTACAGCGAGCCCAAGTGTCAGCTCTGCCATCTTCACCCCATGCAGCGAGCTGCTGAGAGGAGCCCAGCGCACGGTGCAGCACAGCGCAGGCGTTCGGGAACCTTCGCCTCCATCCTCACTGCAATGCAGGACCTCAGGGGAAGCCAGGGAAAGGCCCCACAGTGCGCCCAGCTCTGCCCCACAGCACAGCCACCCTCAGCGAGGAGGACGACGCTGGGCCCCCACAGCACAGCCTGCAACTCCCAGAGCTCAGGATGCTCACGGGCACAGCTCAGCTCAGCCAGGACAAAAGAAAGCCGTGAAATGGTTCTGTTCAGCTCAGCTCAGCTCAGCAAGCCAAAAAAACCAAAACCACCAACAGGTGGAGGCAAATCGTCGCCCACAGCGTGACTCCATTTAAAGGAAGCCTCGCTGAGCTGCCCTCAGAGCACAAAACCACACGGCTGAGCGCAGGATTGGCCAGGAAACCCCAAGTGAAACCTGAACTAACCAAGAGAGAAAAGAACAAAGCCCAAAGCAGCAGCTGAAGCATTGAGAAAGATGATCAGTTCCTCATAGCTGGAATAAATTGGTTCAGAAAAAGCACCAAGGGAAAAATCTGGGTCGTCTGGTGTAAGTGGCCTTTCCTTCAGAGGAGAGAAAGCTCACTGGTGGAGAGCAGGGCAACCGCAGGGCATCACAGCACATCCTTACCTGGCAAATCGCTCCTTGTCGTTTGGCATCGGGTCATCATCACACCTGGCAGGAGGGGAGAAGAAGGATTCAATAATTATTACACGCTCACACTTATTCCAAAGACACTGAGAGGACAAATCTCATCAGATCACATAGAAAACGCCTGGTGTGGAGCAGGCAGCTGCATTCTGCTGTGCATCAGCCGTCCAGAACCACGCTCTTCGTTAACCTCATCCAAGTCATTAGGCTGGACATCCTTATCACCTAGATTGTTTTCCACATCACGTTTCCATCAAGCTCATCTTGCTCAGTAATTCAAGCAAACACACAGAGCAAGAGCTTCAACTGAGCGCTGGAGACACAAACCAGCAGCTGCATGCAGGGGATCTCAGGGCAGCCAGTGCCCACAGGGGCCATTATAACCCCAAGGTCGTTTGCAGCCATCTCTAATTAACTGTCCAACCCTAAGCCATGTAGCGAGACTGCAAGAAAATGACAGAAGAGCTTCCAAATCTTCTGCACTCCATATGGATCGTGAGGAGATGCCTGCAGTCCTGCCAGCTCCACAGGAACGAGGAGGCCTCTGGAACCGCAGCATCTTCACAGCAGATGTCAGTGCAGGAACGCATCTGAGGCACCAACAAGAGCTCAGCGCCTCACTGCGGTGCCACAGGGCGCGGGCAGAAGGTTTTTCTGTGCAACCAAGAGGGGTTCAGCCCTGCTGAGGGGCTCTGCAGCACCAGGGGAGCAGCGCGGCTCCCCGCCCTCAGCGCAGACCACGTGAAGGGGTGAAAGGATCCCTTCCTGCCAGAGCCTCCTGCAGCCCACAGCCACGTGCACAGCAGCTCTGGCAACAGCCGCAGCTGGAGGAACACTGCTTACTGAGAGAAAAGAGCCCAAGGGAGCGAAGCACTGCCTCCTTCAGAGCCCCTCCTTCCCCCCGTGCTGCTGGAGCAGCAAGCTCCTCCTCGGGGGGCTGCAGAGGCACCCAGACCACGCAGTAGGGACGTCTGTGCGTAAGGCTCTCCCTCACCTGAGGAATTTACTGTTCCCTTCGCCATCATCATCAAAATCAAGCCTGAAAAACAAGCAAGATGAGAATTATTAACCAAGATTCCCTTTCACAAGCTGCTTTTCCCCGTGTCCCTCAGGCAACGTTAGAAAGGAGGATTTCAGTGACCCCAAGTACTGACATAAAACGATTTACGCTGTTGAGGGGAGTAGAGAAGACATTTCCTTGTGTGCACAGCACAGAGCAGAGAGGCTGAGCACCACTGCATTCCTGCCCCAAAGGCTCCGGATGGCAGAGCAGCAGTGCCACAACTGCTCCTCGCGGCCCAAGGGACCGAGCGCCACCCCAGAGCGCTGCGGCTCCAAAGCCTGGAGCTGTGAGCAAACACGACTGCAACAAACGTATGGCAGAGGACAGAAGGGGCTTCTTGCTGCTCTTCCTCCCAGGATGGAAAAGTGGCACGCAGAGGCAGCACCGTGCTCCTAAATGAAGTGTGAGGAAGGAGCAGCAGGCAGCGTGTGGGAGTGACAGCAGATGGAGAAGGAAAGCGAGCAACGAGGAGGGCAGGGAGAGGCTTTCACCAGCTTGGAAGCAAAGAGGAGATTTCTTGTGCCAGGAATTTAAGAGAAGCCACTCAATCTCCTTTCAATTTGCAGAGGCATCTGCAGCAAACACAAAGCCTCCCACAGCACAGAGGCTTCCCTGCACCCTCCCCCACAGACAGCTGGAGGGGCTGAGCGAGGCACAGGCCTTCCCTGCTCCCTGCCGTGCTGCAGCGCTGCCCTGCTTGCCCCACTGCTGCAGCCCTGGGGGAACAACCCCTTCTGACCCAACTCTTCCACCTCCTTTTGTTGCATGTCATACAGCACAGAGCAGCATTAAAGCCTAGCACAGAAAGTAGGAGTGATGCAGGCACGGGGGCTCACCAGCAGACAGAAGGCTGGCTGCCCCCACGCAGCCCCCACTCACCCAGGACGCCTCTTGGCTGCCCTCTGCACGATGGCTCCTCCAGTCTGAGCTCCGGCCCCGGGGTTCCCTGAGCCGACGGCTGCGCCCAGCGAGGAGACATCTGATGCCATTTCTGCACGGGGAGGAAGAAAAAGAAACCGCTGCGACTCCAAACCTTCCTCCGGCTCAGATGGGAGGGGATCCTCGGCCCTCCTGCTCAGCAGCGGCACCACAGCGTCTGAAGCAGCGGTTCTGTGCCATGTGTTCCCAGCCCTCCCATCCGCTGCCTCCCCACACTCTGCACTGAGGCCCATCTCCAGCTCGGAGCACACGCTGTTCTCATCAGCTTGGAGCGCAGAATTAAAAGCTGCAGCCTCCTTTGCAGCCAGAGGAGGAGCCCGATGTGAGCACGGGAAGGGGCTGAAGCCACTGCCAGCTCTGCAGAAGGGCAGAAGAGCTGCGGGTTCACCTCAGCCTCACCGACAGCAGCACCTCTCGATTCCCCAGGCTCAGGAGACAAAGAATTACCGAAGGCGCCTCGAAGCCACGGCCTTACAGCAGCAGCTCCCATTCTGCAGCACAGCAGAGGCACTGCTACCAGCCCCCAGCCGGCCGCACACCCACAGCAGCTCTTCCCCAAAACGATGCTGAGCGCCTGCAGCCCAGCACCAAAGGGCCACGGAGTTAACGCAGTCTCAAAGGCTCTGCGTTTCTTTTCCCCGTGCTGTTCTGAAATAAACCCTCTCTATCCCTGCTTTGCAGCTGTGCTTTGAGGTTTGCTGCAAAGCAACGCGGCCACACAGCTCCCAGCACAGCCCTCAGCAGCTGGGCTGCGCAGAGCCCCGAAGGCTTCAAACGGCCCAAAGCTCCACAGCAGTGCTGCTGTGCTGGGCAGAGGGGACTCAGAGCCCCCAGAGCTGCTGAGCGCAGTGCTGAGGGCTGCTTATGCACCAAACGCCGCCGTGACGAACCCAACTCCGGCCTCATAACACCAAAAATGAAAGCAAAGGGGGCCCAAAGCCCCCTGAACTCTCAGTACTGAAATCCCAGCTGAGCCAACGGCAGCAGGCCCTGCCAGGCAAGAAGCAAAGGGCAGCAGCACCATGAGAAATCTGTGCAGCAATGCTCAGCAGCAACTCCTCACCCCGAGCAAAGCAGTGCTTCACATCCCGCCCTTCCAGGAGAGGAAGAACCCTCAGAGCTGTTTGTATCACCTGCTTTTCACCTTTTTCCCCCTTTTCCTTCAGATTTTAACCCAGCAGCAGCACTCCTGTGGGCAGACAGGCTCTGCTGGCAGCTTGCAGCAGGGCTGTGCGACCACCAACCGCCTCTGCTGGGCCAGCAAACACCCCCACAACTTGTGCTGCTTCTCCCCACAGCGACGCTGCCAGCCTGCACTGCTGCTTGCTTTGCTCTCCACCCAGTGCTGCTGCTGAGCTTTCCTCCCTACCAGCAGCACAGAGCAAACAAAGCCAGCAGCTCCGGAGCCCACAGAGCCGACTGCAAGCTTCCCTGCAGCAGCAGAACCTGAGCAGCAGCAGGAGGCAATGAGGGCTGTGGGGCTGCCTGTTCCATCCGTCCCCAATCCAGACGGTCGCCGTGCCCGCCTCCATCAGCCCCAGCTCCCAAACTCAGCTGGAGCTGCTCAGGCACTGCTGCTGATGGAGGACTCTCTATGCAGCCTTCCTCCCACCGCGCAGACAGCTGGCAGCCAGAAGGGCTGCTTTGGGTGCAGGCAAACCGGGGTAAAACGTTCGTTCCTTCCTTTCTTCTGGGAGTCCTTGGCTCTCCAGAAAGGCCGCAAACTGAGCAGAAGGAAAGAAAGTTCCTGGAGTGCTGCTCTGTGTTCATTAAGGAGTGAGGAATTTCCGGCTCAGGGAGGGGAAGGAAGCGGTGCTGCACGGCTCTTCTGCAAAAGGCAGCACAGAAATGAAGGATCCCTGCGTGCACCTGAATGGGACGTGCCAGCAGAGTGCAGCGCATCAACAGCTGGAGCAGGATGGAAGAGGCTGGAGGACAGCGCAGGGAAGGGCACCAAGGGGGCCGTGCAGCTCAGCCCCACGGGAAGGGCGCTGTCGCAACCGTTGGCATCTCCACGAGTTCAGAAATGGTCCCAAACAAAAAGAGCCGACCGTTCCAAGCTGTGATTGAGGAGACGGGCAGCAGCAGCAGCCTGAAGGCTGTTTCCAACCCCAGCAGCACAAGGTTGCTTTCCAGGGCCGGGTGCAGCTCAGCACATTTTTTGCTTACCAAGATTTAAACCACCCATGGTTCAGCTCCCGCAGAGCTCAGCGCAGCCCTGCCTGTACAGAAGCCGTCTCCAAACAAACCCCAGGAATCCCCTTGCACCACAGCACCCCGTGATGAACCCCCCGCTCACCACACGGCGTCAGGAGCGTCCTGACAACCCCCCTTCACCACGAAACCCATTAAGCAATTAATGGGCTGGGAGCCTCTACAGATAGCAGCTGACCCAGAGCCAGCGCCTCCCTCTGCTGTCGGAGCCGTTTGTCAGCTTGAACACAGATGTTTCTTTTCCCAGAGAACTTCTTGGGGTCGAGCCTTTCCTATTGCACGCAGCCCAGCACTCTGAGGGCTACAAGCACAGCGCTGCTCTCACAACCGTTTCCCTTTCCCCACTCGCCTCATCTCGCTCTCGCCGTCTCTTCCAGCCCCGCTCTGCGCAGCACAGCTCTCCTTCCCTCCTGATCTGTACATCCTGCATCTGCCAGGCTGCTCTGAGCAGCTCCCAGCAGAGCCCTCCCTGCTACGAGGGCAGCTGATGGGCTGAACCGCAGCCCTGCCTCCCTGGGATGCTGCAGCACAGCAGGAGCCCCTTTTGCTGTGCGAGGAGAACGCAGATCGGACCGTTTCCCCTTCAGATCCACCTGCTGCTAACCTGGCTCAGGAACGCTCCTTTCTGGTGGCTCTGTTGTGTCTCTTTTTTCTCAGCATCTGAAGCCACAAATGCTTCCTATCCCATTAGAATGCTTTAGAAAAGTCATCTTCGAGAGGTGACATCGAATCATCCTTGATAAAGCTGGACAAGTCACACAGCCCCACACCCCGTCAGCCTCAAGCCACAAGTGAGAGCAGTCAGCAACCACAAAGCAGCACAGCAAAACAAGAAAAAAAGAGACACAGAAGCTCAGGTTCTGATCTCAGCCACCCACAGCCACCAGGTTACTGCAGGGACAGATGGACTGACTGCGGGTTTTGCTAGAAATCCAATGGAGCCCTCAGGATCCCATCATCTTCCCTGCTCAGCACACTGCCAGTGACAGCCAGCTTTGGCCACCGACCACGGGGCAGAACGGGCTGAGCCCTGTGCCTCCTACAGGCATCGCAGCGCGGCTCACACAGAGCTTCAAACAGACACCGAGGGGATCTGGAAGGGCTCCTCCATGCCAGCAGCTGGGCAGGCTGCGATCGGCGCTCATGAAGGAAAAACCTCCCCAAGAAAAAGGGGGGAAAAGCAACAGCGGCCATGAAGGGCAGCAGGGAGCAGCGCAGCTCCGGCACCGTGGGGCAGGGCAGCACCCCATAGGGGTACAAACCCCGCACCCCTCCGCGATCCCAACCCCCCTCGTTCCTCCCCAGAGCGACGCTCTGCTCAGCCAAACCCACCCCGCTGCTCCCACCCCCACACGGGCCCCCTTCCTCACACTCACACCCCCAGGGCCCCATTGGGGCAGCACCGCTCCCTCCCCCCTCCGAACAGCCCCCCATGCCGCCCTCACCTCCCTCCTTCAAGCAGACCCCCCCAGCCCCCCTCACAGACCCCCAGGCCCCGCCCCGTCCCCTCACCTCCCCCTACAGGAGCTGCCAACCTCCCCTCAGCCCCACTTCGACCTCCCACCCACCGCCCCCCAAGGGAACGCCTCTCCCGCTCCCAGCCCTCCCCACGGCCGCACGCCCCCCTCAGCCCGAACCGCCCCGCGCTGCTCACCCGGGTTGGCGGCGGTGGCGGCCATAACGCGGCGCGGCCCGTCCCGCTGCCGCCGCCCCCCCCCTTCCCCTCAGCACCGCCGCCGCGGCCAAGATGGCGGCGCAGGAAAACCCTCCGCGCCGCCGCGCAGCGCGACCCGCCCGCCTCGAGGGGCGGGGCGAAGGGGGAATGAGGCGCTGCTATTGGTCCGTCGTGGAGGGGGCGGGGCGAAAGGGGCGGTGTGGCTTTAAGAGAGAGTGCCCCGCCCACATCGCGAGGGGCGTGGTCAAGGAGGGGAGCGTGGTCACTGGGGGCGTGGTCAAGGGGCGGGAGTGATGACGTCACGTTGTTTATTTGTTTTGTCCCGAGCAAAAGAATGTGATGGGGATTGGGATTGGGATTGGGATTGGGATTAGGACTGGGATTGGGATTGGGATTAGGATTGGGATTAGGATTGGGACTGGGACTGGGATTGGGATTGGGATTAGGACTGAGATTGGGACTGGGATTGGGATTGGGATTGGGACCGGGATCGGGATTGGGACTGGAATTTGTGTTGGGATTGGGACTGGGATTCAGGTTGAAGGGTTGGGATTGGGATCTGGGTTGGGATTGGGATTTGAAGTGGGAGTTGGGATTGAGAGTGGGATTGGGATCAAGAGTGGGATTGAAGCTGGGATTTGGACTGGTATTCAGGTTGAGATTGGGATTGGGATTGGGATTGATATTGGGACTGGGACTGAGACTAAGAGAGGGGTTGGGATTGAGAGTGGGATTTGGATTGATGTGGGGATGGGGATCAGCAGTGGGATTTGGGTTGATAATATAACAAACACAATGAAACTGAGAGGCGGTGCTGCTGGAGGTGCTGCTCCTTCCTGCACCGCTCTTTGGCAGCTCCAAACTGCAGAGCAGCTTGGAGCTCAGTGCCGCAGTTCCCAAAGCTTTGCACTGCTCAGAGCCCACAGCAGCCCCTGCCCCACTGCAGGTCACCCCACGGGCCGGGCGGAGGCGAGGGACCCAGCACTGTCTGCTCAGGGGGGTCCCAGTTTGCTCAACCAGAGCCACACACAAAGCCTGGCAGGAGGTGCTGAGTGCTTCGTGACCCCTTTAATCCACAGGATCGCTTCTCCCATTGCAGGGAGCAGCTGAAAGGTGATGCTGCTGTGTGTCTGCGGTGTCTTTGATGGCCCCGATGTCACCACGGCCCTGCAGTATTGATGAGGCCCAGAGGGGTGAAGTCCAGCCCCAGTGCCTCCGTGTCCCTGCAGTATTCATGAAGCCCGATGAGGTGACAGCAGGCCACAACATCACCGTATGCCTGCATTATTCATGAGGCCGATTGACTGAGGAGAGCCACAGACAGCAGGACACAGGGCCAGGCAGTCCGTCTGTCTGTCCGTCTGGAGAGAGGTAAGGGGCGCTCAGCACACACAGGACAGGGTTCAGAACTGGGGGGTTGGGGTCCCACCTCAGTAGGGTGATGGCATTCATGGAGGCTGTGTTTGCTCACCCCTGGTGTGTTATAAACACAAACAAATCTGTAAGTTTGGTGGCTTTTCTGGCACCAGCCTGAACAAACCTTCTCTTCTGCTCTTGTTTGCACACCTCTGTTTGCTTAGCATGGCTTTCCCACATGCTCCTGTCCCCTCCTAACCCGAGCCACGTCTGCTGGACTCAAAGATCCTTGCTGGTCCCTTCCATCTCGAGGTATTCTGTGATTCTGTGATTCCATGATTTCCCCGATTCTGTGGGGGCTCAGCCAAACCCTGCTGTGCCTAACAACCACCAGTTTGGCTGTACCCAACATTAATGGCATATTTTAACCCGGGTTTTCCTGGAAAGCGGGCAGGCTGTGCAGGGAAGGGAAGCTGGAAGGGATGCCACTGGGAACAGTGGGGTGCTTTGTGCTGTGATTGCTGCTCCTGCTCTTCCACCCTCCTCTGCCCTGCAGGATGCGGCTGGGGCTGCACGCCTGAGTGCCTCCCGCATGGCCATCGACGTGGATCAGGGCTTCGCCATCGCCTTCGTGGTGCTCACGTGCCTCTTCCTGCTGGCCGTGATGGTTCGCTGCGCCAAGCTCATCATCGACCCCTACAGCGCCATCCCCACCTCCACCTGGGAGGAGGAGCAGATCAACTGAGCCCCCCCCGGACCCCCAGCACGGCGACTCGCGGCTCTCCTTCCCCACTAGGTGCACCCAGAGCTTCATCCCGGCCCCCAAGGCTCTCATGGAAACATAGAGTTGCTCAGGTTGGAAAAGACCTTAAAGATCATCAAGTCTCCATTACCTCTGGCACCCCAGGGTCCTCCATCTCCTTGAGAGCCCCTGCCATTCTTCTCTTCCCTTCCTCAAAACCCTCAGAACCTCCCCGGCCCGGACCCCTTCTGTCCCCTGGGTGGCAGTGCTGAGCCTTTGCAGGGACGCGGCCCCTTTAAGGCTCCCCCCAGCCGCTCTTCTCGCACATGCGCCTTGGCTCACTTCCGCCGCTCACAGCGGCGGCCCGCCTCTCACGCATGCGTAGTGCAATGCCGGCCTCAAGTGGGAGGAACGGGACTTCCTCTAAGTACCGGAAGTGACGGCATGTAACGTCCGGTCCAGCGCCCCCGACCCCTTCCTCAGCCTCCATCCCAGCAATAGGGGGCCGGGCTGGGCCGGGCCGCGGGGCCGAGGTGGGTGCGGGGACGGCGGGTTGGTGAGGCGGGGAGGGGGGGAGAGCGGTGAGGGGTTTGGAAGGGAGCGGGGGGGGGTGAGGGGGGCGGGGGGGCCGGGGGGGGTTGGGGGCCGAGGGGAGCGGGAGGAGCTCCGTGTGCCGCTGGCTGCGTCCCCGGCACGGCGGTGGGACCCGGTCCCCGTTGGGCAGCACGGCCCCTCTGCGTTCCCTTCCTCTCTTCTTCCTCCCGGCCCTCAGAGAGACGTTGGATCTTTGCGTTTTCAGGGCTGGAGGGTGGGAGTGGGGGAGAAACGTGAGCTGTAGGGCAGCGGGAGGCGGGCTGGGTGGAGCGGAGCAACGGAGGGGGGGGGGGAAACGGCGGCCTCACCCCTCTGTGGTTCCGGGTGCAGCAGAAATGGATTGCCAGGACATCAAAGAGCTGCAAAAAGAAGTGATGGAGGAGATGGGAATCTCCATGGAGGAGCTGGAGGACATCATCAACAAGGAGCTGGAGAAGTCTGAGTACGTGAAGCAGAAGAAGCAGCAGCTGGAGGAGCTGGAGGTGTGCGTGAAGCAGAAGGAAGAGGAGGTGGCGCACGTCGATCGCCTCTTCGATGATGCTTGGAGGTGAGCTCACCTGGAATTGCGGCTGTGTGTCTGCGTTGGGTCTCGGAGAGCAGAGATGGGGCAGATCGGGTGGCAAAGGCTGATCTCTGAGCGCTGCCTGTTTCCCTGCCAGTAGGCTGACGCCGTGCTGGTTGACTTGTATGTGATTATTGAGGGATGATTAAAATCAGCCCCCCTGACTGTGAACCCCTCTGGTGGATACTTCTCCCTCTTCACGGTGGCTGTGTTTAATTTTGAGCTGCCCAGTGGTTCCTGTTTCTCTCTGCAATGCTGTGGGATTTACATCTGGACTCACTTTATCTTTTCTTGTCTCTCCCTCTTTCTTTCTTCCCACCTCAGAGACTTTCACAAATGTGAGATGTTGGTGAAGGATCTGTACTCCAAACTGGGCCTGGATTACCGTGAGAGCAGCTCTGAGGAGGAGGACTTGGCTGCCAAACCCACAGAAGTGATTGAGATCCCAGATGACGACGACGACGACGACATCATGAGTATTGATTCGGGCTGGAAGAACAGTTCAGTGTCTTACTGTGGTGATGAGGAAGGAGCGGGGATGGGAGCATCCTGGAGCAGAGGGGGATCAGAACGGGGTGCTGTAGAGCTGCCCATCAGCCACGGTGGCCCTGAAGCAGATGGGAGCCGTGAGCTCACATGAGGGACATCAGCACTGCCATGGTCTGCCGGGGCCCCACAGTGCCTGGAGTTCAGGCTGTCAGGTGCTGAGCTGGGACTAATTGTTGTCCACGTCAAACGGTGGACGTCCTTTGCTGTGGAGGAGCTGCAGGTGCATTTCTTGCATCTAGAAGTGATTGGAAGTAAAATTGCCTTTTTTGAGTGAATTTCCTGGCAGGATCAGGGGATGCTTTTGAACGGAGGCTTCCCTCTGGTCCCTTTTCTTTTGGTGACTTTCTAGGGTGCATTCTTCCTCCCCAGTGTGTTTTAAACCACTTATTTTCTCTCTAACCCCAGGCGATAGCAGTCCCAAGGTTCCCAAGGATCAGACCCTGGTGAGTTGGCACAGATCTGATCACAGTGCACCTCTGCAGTGGGGTTTTGCTGGCACAGGACATCATTGTATTCAGCGAGGCTGAAAATCCCCACTCTTTCACATTCTTTTCCTTCCCTTCAGCTGAGGGAAGCCATGGCAGCAATGAGGAGGTCGGCCCAGGACGTTCAGAAGTTTATGGATGCTGTGCACAGGAGAACAAACGCCCAGGAGGCAGTGAGAGGTCAGTGTGAGCGTCCTGCAGCTGCCTGCTGTGTGCTGCCACTCGTGTGGCCACAGCCTCGATGCTGGGCCCGTTGGTTTTCATTTTGGGGAGGAAAAACACAGCTCTGCTCTTTCCTTTCCCTGTTGGGAAGACCTGGTGGGGCGTGCAGATCCCATTTTGTTTCTGGAAATCCTCCTTAAGTGCAAATATTTGGAGTTCCTGTGCCATGAGAGCCTTTCAGCGCTGTGCCGTCCTCCCTCGCTGGTGGCTCCGTCCTCCAGGGCTCAGGCACTCGGCTGCTGGCAGCAGAGCAGGGCTGCTCCAGGTCTGACAGATGTGCTGGCAGTTGAAGCACAGCAGAGCGAATCCCTGGTTCGTTTGTGACGCGGCTGTTTCTGGGCAGATGCACAAACCCCTCAGCAGGCGCCTGGTGCTCTGCAGTCTGCTGGACCGGCCGTGGGGGTGGGCGACCTCAGCAACGATGGCGATCTGAAGGTGGGCATGAGGATCCTGGGCAAGAAGAGAACCAAAACGTGGCACAAAGGGACTCTGATCGCCATCCAGACGGTCGGTAGGTTCAGAGTCAGCGGAGCTCAGCTCCTCCCGCGTGGAATCGCCGTGCCTTCGCTGAGCCCGCCCTGCTGCAACGTCTTTCAGGTGCTGGGAAGAAGTACAAAGTGAAGTTCGACAACAAGGGGAAGAGTTTGCTGTCTGGCAATCACATTGCTTACGACTATCACCCCTCCCCGGACAAACACTACGTTGGGAGCAGAGTTGTGGCAAAGTACAAAGATGGGGATCAGGTCTGGCTGTATGCTGGCATCGTGGCTGAAACACCAAACGTGAAGAACAAAGACAGGTATTCATTCTCCTCCGCCGCCGTTTTATTCTTGTTTTTCTTATTAGTGAGAAGGAAACGTGCTGAAGTGGCAGCTGAGCTGCTTTCTGACCTCCCCAGGGCCGCGCTCAGTGTCCTTTCCTCACTTGTTCTTATCCACGAGTGCTTTGGGTGGAGCCTCTGTTGTGTTGCTCAGATCCCTGAGTCAGAAGTTGTGTTTGGTAATTCAGATGATGGTGCAGATATCAGCCCGCCCTGCTCAGGGCCTGGCATGAGGAAGGAGGAGCCCCGAGGTGTTTTGTGCCAGCAGTGTTGCCTGGGCACGTCAGGTCGAAAGCAGTCCCAGCTGCGTGCGGATGAGAGGCAGCTCCCCTTGGATGTGGTTTTTGCTCTGTGGTCTTTCTGGGAAGACTCACAAAGGGTTTTATCAGCCTCCCACGCTCAGCCGTGGCTGCGCCCAGCCGTGCGAGGTCCCATCTGATAAGTGTGGGGAGCTGGGCAGAGCTCTGTGCCTGTCGGTCGTGTTGCAAACGTGCTCCTCTTGGCTGTTGTGCTGATCTCTCGTAACCCTGGCACAGCCCTGCCTCCCAACTGCTACTTGGGGGCATGTTTTTGTTCTTATCTTTCTTCCTTATCTCCTTTCCTCACCGCTGCGGTTCAGCCTCGTGGGCCCCATCTCCCCTGCAGCCCTGGGCTCTTCCACGCACACCTCCTGTGTGTCCCCCAGCTCTCCCCTCTGCTGCTCTCAGTCCCAGCAGAAGAGCTGCTGCCCAGAGGCTCTGCAAATATCTTTGTGGAGATCAGAAGCAATTAAACTCTTTGTTTTTCCCCATCATTGCAGCTCCGTGGGGGAGGCACAGAGGTTTGGATGGGGGGGAGAGGGCCTGGCTGTGCTGTGCTGCTGGGAAGCCTTTGGGCAGCTTCTGTGTGTCCTCTGGGAGTGCAGACGGAGCTCAGGGCTGGGCAGAGCCGTTCAGAAGCACTGAGGGAGGCAGCAGTGCTGCAAAGCCTGGAGCTCCGGGCAGCAGCAATCAGTTCTGCCTGTCCTCAGGTGCCTCGCCTGAGCCGGGCCATTTTTGGGTGGCAGTGGGGTTTCTCTGCTTCATTCACTGGCATTTCCAAGCCCAACTCTCCACCTGTGTTCTCTGTGCTGTTATGCAGGTTCTTGATCTTCTTTGATGATGGCTACGCTTCGTACGTCAAGGAGTGGGAGCTGTACCCAGTCTGCAGGCCGCGTGAGTGACCTCTGCCTCCCCTGTGTCCTCCTGCTGGGTCACTCAGGGCGTTTGTGGGCACGCGAGGAGCTCATCTGGAGCATGAAGGTCGCACATCTCAGTGCTGTGCTCCTGGAGATTCGCTCTGCACGCACAATGGGAGGCAGCTCCCTGCCTGGGGGCATCGGCGTGGCTGCGCCCCTGCTGCCCTGAGCAGGAATGCATTTGGAAAGGAGCCAAAGGACCTTTCCCCAACCTCGTTTCTTTCCCTTTCTGTGCAGTTAAGAAGACGTGGGAGGACATAGAGGACGTGTCGTGCCGGGACTTCATCGAGGAGTACATCAGTGCCTACCCCAACCGCCCCATGGTGCTGCTGAAGAGCGGCCAGCTGATCAAAACCGAGTGGGAGGGGACCTGGTGGAAATCCAGGGTGGAGGAGGTGGACAGCAGTCTGGTCAAAATCCTCTTCCTGGTACGGCCATTGCTGCTCTGCCATCGAGGGGGGAGGATGGGGGCGTTTCTGTGTGTGGAGCCGAACCTGTGGGCCTTTGGAGCCCGGTTTCCCTGCTGGGGTCAGATGGGGCTCTGGAGCAGGCACACGTTCTGCTGCTCTGTGCTTTGCTGGGAAGGTGAGGCTTTGATCTGCGTGATGAAAGCTCCAAAAGCCCTTTTGACTGCGGTTCGCTCCCACAGCTGTG